CTATAAACCCCCAAGCCCCTAAACCCTGAACCCTGAACCCTAAACTCTAAACCCTGAACCCTAAAACCGTATAAGCCCCAAACCCCTAAACCCTAAACCCTAAACCCTAAACCCTAGCAACCTGAGCGCAGGCGACAAAGCGAGCTGGAAGGCTCGGAGACCTGGCCAGGGGGCTGTTTTGGGGTTTAGGGAGGCCCTGTGTTCCTCGACGAATCTGAAAAGGGTCTTAGGGCACGGAGTTTAGGGTTTAGGGTTTAGAGCTTTAGGGGTTCAGCGATTTAGGGGTTAAGGGATTGACTTAGGGGTTTAGGATTTTGGTAGGGTTTGGTTAGGGTTTTGGGGTTTTGGGGTTTAGGGGTTTTGGTGTTTAGGGGTTTAGGGGTTCAGGGTTTAGCGATTTAGGGTTTAGCGGTTCAGGGTTCAGCGATTTAAGGATTTTAGGGGTTTAGGGGCTTTAGGGGTTTATCGCTGTTTCAGGGATTTTAGGGTTTTTAGGGGTTTAGGGGTTCAGGGTTTAGCGGTTTAGGGGTTTACATTGGGTTTAGGGGTTTAGGGTTTAGGTTTAAGTTTAGGTGCTAATAAACAGGCCCCAACCATTAGCTTTACTACTTTTGGGGGGTTCGTATGATATTGTAATTGTAATATAGTAGTAAATACCTGTACTATTCTGGTGGTTCTTTATCATAGTCAAAGCATGACAATAATTACCTATACTATTTTTGTGGTTCCTTATTCTAATTATTCTGGTTATAATATCTTATAGCATAACTAGAATTACTTGTACTATTTTTTAGGTGGTTCCTTGTTACAATTATAGCAAAAGATAACCCCAAACCCTATTCTAATTAATAAGGCCCCTGCACTAGGGTTCAGGGCTTGAGGGTTTAGGAAACTGAGGGCCGTCTAGAAGGGCCACGTACTATACCTTAAGGACGAGATGTGGTTTAGGGTTAGGGTTTAGGGTTTAGGGTTTAGGGTTTAGGGTTAGGGCAGTGAGAATTCGAATAAGGCACGTGGGCCTTGGAGTAATTTACAGGTCTTTTTTGGGGCGGTGGGGGGGGGGGGGTAAATATTCACGCCCGCTACCTGGCCCCCTACACCCCTAAAGGTCCTCGTGGTGAAGAGTAGAATGCCATGAATCTAGGAGATTTTCAGGTGGGTAGTTACCGGAGCCAAATCGAAGGTCTATATACTTTATAGAAGCCTTCTAGAGTCTGGAAGCCCCATATACCCTAAACTCCCCACCTGCAGTTTCCTAAACCCTAAACCCTAAAATCCTAAACCCTAAACCCTAAACCCTAAAACCCTAAACCCTAAACCCTAAACTCCCCACCTGTAGTGTCCTGTAAATGAAGCCAGCATTCACCCTGATCGGAGCTTGGGTGTGCCGCGGGCACTTCCCGACAGGAAAGCTGCAAACACAGCGCCAGGACGGACTGCAAAGTTCCGGAGCAGTAGGGTTTAGGGTTTAGGGTTTAGGGAACCCTAAGCCCTGAACCCTGTTCTTCTCTGCAGGAGATTGCTTCCTTGAAGGCAGCTTTGGGCGATAAAGCTTCTCTGCTTGACAAGGCACGGCAGAACAGCGCATCAGACACTATTGCTATGATACTACTATACTCTTCATATCACTATTACCATTTATGCTATTTACTACTACCAGCACTATGAAGAGACGGCACCCGGAAGGAAGCCGAGTTGCGAGACCTCCATGGTAAGCTGAAGCCGCATGGCGGAATTGCCAAAGTCCTGCAGTCCGTCAAGGCCGGATCGTGCGGTTCTTATCCTCAGACCCCCGGGAGGATCCAACAGGCAGATCCCTTAATGGGAGTTCCTATAAAGAGCCCTTAGTAGTATAGGGTCCCAGATTAGGGGATCTCTTTTCTAGATCCTTCCGTGGGCCTAGGTCAGGGTGCTATAACAAGCCTACAGTCTAGGGGCTTTAGGGTTTTAGGGTGGTTGTCATAAGGGTACTATAAAAGGCTTGTTATATCATAGTACTGTAACAAGGTCATACGGCAGGTACTCTGTAAGGCTAGATCTAGGACATTTTCAGGTGGGTAGTTGCCGTTATAGGAGCCTTATAGAAGGTTTATATACCTTATACAAGCCTTATAGAAGCCTTATATACCCTAAACTCCCCACGTGTAGTTTCCTTGAAAAGTGAGCTCCAGCCGCTGTTTTCAGGAACTCAGCACCGTGCATCAAGAGGTCTCCTCGCTGCGGAAAGCAGCCGCTGATGCCGAACGCCTCAAGTCTGAGGTGTCCTTGCTATTGCTTTAGGGTTTATTTATAAGGTTTAGGGTTTAGGGTTTCGGGGTTTGGGTTTAAAGTTTAGGGTTTCGGGAGTTCAGGGTTGAGGGTATAGGGCTTATTGGAGGATCTTTGGGATGCCTGGACTTGGGTGTTCGCATTCGTCAGGTGGCTGAGCTCAAGCGCGGCGCAAGAAGAAAGGAGGCCACGAAAGCGCAAGGCCCGGACTTTGCACTTCCTTGCTCGCAGTGCTGTCGCAGGCGCCAAAGCCCAGCGCTGAGCTGAAGGAGATGAGACGCGAGTTAAGCGAACTGGAGAAGTGGAAAGCCGAGTTCGAAGGGAGGGAGGCTTCGGCCCGTGAGACAGAAGAGATGGAACAGGCGAAGCCAGAGGCGCGGCGCGGGCAGACCCACCGACTTCCGCATATTGCTGCCTGAAAGCCAGCTGGGCTCGTTAAGAATATAAATAGAGCAGGCTTCCTTTCAACGGTCCTTATATATGCAGGTCATATATTGGAACGGGGTATTGTGAGGGTTTGGTATAGGGGCCTTTATTACATGGGCCTGGCCTTACAAGTCGCACGCACTGCGATTGAGCTGTTTCGAGACTATGGAGCAGTGAAACTGGAATGAGCACGAAGCTGCCTCAAATAAGCAATAAGAACCTCGCATTTCAAGACCTCAAAGGCGTGTCCAAGGGCATCAATCCTTCGAACAGAGGACCCGCACTACCACGGAAGGATAAGTGATGACCAACATTGTCTCAGAGTTCCTGATGAGTATACCCAAAACTCTGTTCTAATCATCAAGGCCGCTCTACAACGCTCCCATAATTCCCCTTATTGTCTTTTACCCTTACATAAGGACCTTTCAAAGGAACCCTGTTGCAGCTATTAGGCTCCCATACTGAACCCTTATCATGCCCGTTGTAGTATGTAACCTATACTATCAGGACCCTTGGCAACCCTATTCTACCGGATACAGCCCATTAATATATAGCACTTAGACAAGGATCCTTCAAAGGAACCCTTGTAGTATATAACCAATGTATAGCCCTGTTGCAAGGACCCTTTAAAGGAATCCTAGATTCCCCTTATCGTATATAGCCCTTACACAAGGACCTTGTAAAGGGATCCTATTCCCCTTATAGTATATAGCCCATTGCAAGGACCCTTTAAAGCTTTAAATGAACCCTATTCCCCTCATAGTATATAGCCCGTATACAAGGACCCTTTAAAAGGAACCCTATTCCGCTTATGCAAGCAACACCTTCAGCCTAAAACTCCTAAACCTTGGACCCTAAACCCTGAACCTTGAACCCAAAGCCCCAACCCCTAAATCCTAAACCCTAAAAGTATATAGCCCTTACACAAGGACCCTTTAACGGAATGGCGCAGCTGGTGCTCGCAGGCGGCGGCTCCAAGCCAAAGGATGGTCCAACCGGCACAGGACTGCTTACTTGCTTACTTACTTGCTTACTTACTTACTTATATTATATATATATATGAACATATGACCATATGTGTATATGTATAATCTATACATATATATATATATATGCATATAGCATATGCACATAATATATATATATATACACACTATATATATATACATATGTATGTGTGTAACGATTTGTCTGTTTACTGGTGTGTATAATTATTTGTTTGCATACATGTTGTTGTTTATCCCTCTTGTGTCGTTGTTTAATTATTAGTTTTATGTGCTTGATGATTGTATACATGTATGTATATTCATGTTGTATTCTTATATCATATTAGATCATGCTTGGTGACATCACGTTACATCGTGCTATACTCTATTCCTTTGATTATACTACAGTATACTATACTACGCTTTGACTGCGTCATAGTATATTCATTGTACAGTATGGCATTGTATAGTACAACATAGCACAGTATGTTACAATATATATATATATATACTGCAGGTATATGGATGGATTGATGGATGGATGGATACATAGATAGATAGATCGATAGGTAGGAAGACGGCTATACTTCAACACATCAACAAACCGATACATCAAGCAATCAAACGATATGTACATATATGTACATATATATATATAGTTATGTCTCTCTCTGTGTTCTCTTGTGTGTGTATATATATGTATGTATGTCTATGTGTATATATATATGTGTGCATATATATATATATGTGTGCATGCATACCTCTGCAAAGGACTTTGGGCCGAAGTTCTCAGTGCCCGAGCCGCCTGGCCGAACTGAGAGGGTCACTGGCTAGTATCTTTATTAGTTTCTACTGTCTAGGGTTTAGGGGTTCAGGGTTTATTGTTTCTTATATTTCAGTATAATAAATACATAAATAGATAAATAAATAAATAAATAAGTATATATATATATATATACACACCTTTGAATAGAAATAGCTCTACTAGTAGAAAGACTACAAACATCCCTATTAACTTCCATGCTTGATAGCATTCTTCTTCTTACTGGAACTGTGGCTATTATGACCAATCAACGATGCTGGTTGTTTTGAATATTAGTCTCACTTATATATATATATATCTTGTGATTAGTGCTGCTGTTCCTGTCATTTATATCATGAATATTAGCATGGTGGGTAAGTCTTAGGAGTAGTCTTATGTTTATGATAGAGAGGAAGACCATGCCGAATATAATTCTGATTGTTTTTTGGGATGCCTGTGTCTTGCAGGCGCCGTCCTGGTCGAGAGGAAGCCGAAATCTTGAAAACACTTGCTGCCCTCCGCTGGGATCTGAGTTTAGGGTTTAGGGTTTAGGGTTGGATCTTAGTTTAGGGTTTAGGGTGTAGACTCCCTTACAACGGAAGTGGGACTAGTTGGGACGTAGGCCAAGGTTGTGCTGTCTGAATATTGCTTGCCTCTGTCCAAGATGAAAGCCATGGAACTGTTGCCTCAGGCTTCGTGGACGCCCACCTGTACCCATGAGGGTCTCCAAGCTCAGATGTACATAATGCAGCGGCCTTAATAATTGCCTATAGTATTTTGGGGGTTCCTAGTTATAATTATAGCAATAATGGGCCCCAAAACCCTATTCTAATTATTTCGGCCCCTATATTAGCATGCGCCGGGGCCTTCTTCTTGTTGTGGTTTGCAAGTCTTGTGCCATTCCAGGTCAGTTGCAGGTCTGCTCGCAACTCCTGTGTCTGGCCAGCCAGATTAGGCTGTGTCTCTCTTAATGTAGGAACCTGATTAAGAAATCCTGTCCCTATAATCTCAACATATTAGGGTTCACATTAAGAACCCTAATAAAGAGCCGGGGTTTCTTAATCAGGTTCCTACATTAACGAACCTCGTCATCAACTGTTTCACCTCGCAGAATTTCACTTCGAGGAATGGGATGCCCGCCCTTCTCAAAGATAGCAAGACGGCTCAAGGCATAATCGATTCTGCAGCTGCTGCGCTCATGAACAAAGGGCCGCGTGTGTGCGTCTGGGAGACTTTGAGTGCATAGAAGATTCTTATGTGTCCGTTGGACCCCGAACTTGAGATCCAAGCGGCACTTTGTAATAGTATATTATCTGCAAGTACAGTACACTAGTATGGTATGATAATATGCTTTTTGTACATCCAAGTCACCGCAGGCATTTTGGCCCTTGAGCAGTAGAAGATGCCTCGACATGGAATTTAGTCATGAATCAGCAACAGGCTCCTTGGAGACCAAATGATGCTTAGAAGCAAGGCCCTTATATCCTACTATATACTATTAATCCCTATTATAGTGTTTGAACCTGAAGCCCTGATGGGGTACATTTCGTCCTTAAGGCTTGCATGCAGGTGCACTCGAGACAAGAAGGACTTGCCAGGATTGCAAGCAGAAGGTTTTGGCTCTTTAGGGTTTAGGGTTTAGGGTTTAGGGTTTAGGGTTTAGGGTTTAGGGTTTAGGGTGTGCGAAAGTGGCAAACTGCTGTCTTCCTAAGCTGTTGTGGCCTCAGTCACTGCTGCCTTTCGACACGCCGCCCTGCGAAGCATGCCATGCTCTTCTGCTCCTGCGCGACTGACCATGTGCAGACCCCTCGTGAGGGAACGAGAGGCAACTTCTAATCATCGCCAAGATGGTCGTGATCATCACCAGCATGAGAATGACCATCGCCGTCGCAATTGTCATCACCATCATCAGCCGCAGAATCAGCATCATCTTCATCAACGTAATCATCGTCGAAGTCGTTGTCCGCATCGTGTTCATTATCTTCTTCATCATCATCCTCATAATTATCACCCTCCACCTCCTGCTCTTCCTCCTCCCGAACATCGTCATCATGTTCCTCTTCGTGTTCGTCATGACAGCAGCAACACAATAGCGCTAGTGCGGCAACAGGCGAATCAACACACCCTAAGGCTCCATGTACCCATATGGTAGATACTTAGGCCTTAAAGTACCTATATAGGGACCCCTTTAAGGCCTAAGTATCTACTATAAAGGTACATGGAGCCTTAGGGCTTCTGCCTAAACCCTAAACCCTAAACCCTAAACCCCTAAACCGTGGTACATGGAGCCTTTGGGACAGTGATGTGCAGATCTTAAATAGAGCAACCGTCGACCTGGGCACGCTCTGTCCTCATCAAAAAATGGGTTATGGGTTTAGGGTTTACGGTTTAGGGTTTAGGGTTCAGGGTTCAGGGTTTGGGGTTTAGGGTTCAGGCTTTAGGGTGTAGGGTTTAGGGTTTCTAAATTAGGGGTACCTTATCTTGGGGTCCTTATAATAAGGATCCTACTATTTAGGGTGCTATATTAGGGTCCCCTATTTTCTGAAACCCCCGAATGGTGTCAACAAGTTCTACAGCATTAACAATATAGTTATAAGAATAACATTCGTGACAACAAGATAAGAACTACAATACCATATTGCAATAATGCAATACTACAATAATCATGACCTACTCATAATACATATATATATATACACATATATATATATATACATATATATATATATATATATTAGCCTTATTATGCATTCATTTGCTGCTTCGAGGCTTTCGGTTTTTCGCTGTTCAACCCTGCAAGGATGGTCCTGTGTTTGTGGGCTCGTCGCCGTGACGGCCCTTAGCACCCCGCTGAAGACCACGCTGTGCCACTGTGAGGATCCTTAGAGACGAAATGAACCCTAAAAAGGGTTTAGGGTTTAGGGTTTAGGGTTTAGGGTTTAGGGTTTAGGGTTTAGGGTTTAGGGTTTAGGGTTTAGGGTGTATATACCATATAGGGATTCATGGTATTAGGGTATAATTAATAGGGCCCCAAATTTTCATATAGGGATTCATCGTGTTATATAGGGATTCATCGTAGCAAGGTATAGGGCCCCTACTTTTAAGGGTCATTTGGTCTGTGAGGATCTTGTGCCCAGTGTAGCCTGAACCCTAAACCCTAAATCCCTAAACTCTAAATCCCTAAACCCAAACCCTGAACCCTAAACCCTTGCAGGACTGCCGCAAGTGGACGGGAAGTGTTGGGCAGATGGCGATCTGGTACCGGAGAGAAGACGCTGGGTTAAGAGGGGATCGATAGTAAATAAGAGGGCTTCTGTATTACCAAACACTAATGTAGGGGCCTTGATAATTAGACAGGTTTTTTGGGGTGTTCCTTGTTGTCTTTATGGTATAGTAGACCCAATAGGAGGATTTCTTTATTGCTAAAGAATACCTATAGTATCCATTGCAATTCTTTTTTCGGTTTACCAAATTTTATATTATAGTATTCTAACCGGAAAATTGGTTAACCAGAAAAGGAACTACAATGGAGACTATAGGTAAACCCAAAACCCTAAATCCTAAACCCTAAACTTAATTCCTTAACCGCTAAGCCCAAAACACTAAACCCCAACCCCTAAACCCTAAACCCCATAAACCCCAAAACCCCAAAACCCTAAAAACCCAAAGCCCTGAGCCCTAAACCCGACATCCCTAAATCCCTAACCCCCTAAACCCTAAGCCCCTAAACCACAAAACCCTAAACCTCTTAAGAAGAGCCCAGGACCCCCACATTCCTTAAACCCTAAACCCTAAAAAGCTTTAAACCCCTAACCCTAAACCCTAAAAAACCCTAAAAACCTGAAACCCTAAACCCTATAAACCGTAAAAAGCCCTAAAATATCCTAAAATGCCCTAAAACTCCCTTCAGAAGAGCCCAGGATGTGCTTTGCAGTGGGCAGCTCCTGGAGTTCAAAGCCGGATCGAGGACTGGCCCAGCCACGGCTTTGATTTGGGGGGCTTTAGGGGATTTATGGGGGGTTTGTGGGGTTTTCTGGTGGTTTATGGGGATTTCTGGGGGTTTATGGGGTTTATGGTGGTTTTAGGGGTTTTAGGGATTTTCTGGGGTTTATGGGATTTATGGGGGGTTTAGGGGTTTAGGGTTTAGGGATTTATGGGGGGTTTATGGGTTTTAGGGATTTCTAGGGATTTTATGGGGTTTCAGGATTTATGGGGATTTATGGGATTTATGGGATTTATGGGGGGGTTTTAGGGGTTTAGGGTTTAGGGATTCAAGGGGGGTTTATGGGGGTTTGGGGGTTTAGGGATTTATGGGGGTTTATGGGGGTTATGGGGATTTCTGAGATTTCTGGGGGTTTATGGGGTTTCGGGGCTATAGGGTTTAGGGGTTTTGGGGTTTAGGGGTTTGGGGTTTTGGGTTGGGTTTAGGCGTTTAGGGTTAGGCTTTAAGGGTTTAGGGGTTAAGGCTTAGGATTTATGTGATAAGATAACGCGAGATGCTGTGCTGTTAAGCGCGACAGGGTTCCGTGCTTCGTGAAGGGTTTGTCTTTGAGAGCTCTTGTGGTACAATAGCCCTCAGAATACTACTTATACTACCCCAAATAGTAGCCCTTAGAACCCTTGTAGAACCCCTTATTCCCCTCAACTCTCAGGGTGCGGAAGAGCTGCGCCACGTGCCATTCGCACATCCTGACCAGCCTCCCACGAGCGGGTTTGGTTGAGGTGTGCGTGGGATCTGCGAGTGAGATATCTCTTAGTGCGCACTTCTTCTACGTGACACCTCTCATCGACTTTGGGGACGAGGTGCCAAAGTTCGTCGACTTCCCAGCTTCACTCGGGGGCTCGGGCGTTCGGGCCGAGTCCTGGGATTTACAGCCAGATGTCACGCAGGCTTTCCATGGGAAGTGCCTCTGTGGATCGGTGATCGTAGCCGTCTCCGGGGAGCCTAAGATGACTGCTTTCTGCCACTGCTTGGAGTGCCAAAAATGGACTGGAAGCAGCGGCCACTTTGCAGTGATCTTCGACGAACCTTGGGGACCAAATGAGCCTTAAAAGTATGGGCCTTATACCCTTACACTATGAATCACTTTCATATTCTTCGAACCTGAAACTCCTTTTAGGGAACATTTCGTCCTTAAGGAAGCTTTGGTCCAGATAGCTGGGGACGTGAAGACCACGAGCGATGGCCACAGAAACTGCGCCAAGTGCTTGGCCTGCATTGCTTCCACCCATTGCGCAAAAACACCTGGCCTCTTGCAAATCTGTGGTGGTATCTTGAACTCCCCTCCGCGACTTCAAGGGCATTGGAACTACGGACAGCGCGTGCTGTGCCTCTCCTGCAGAGACTGGTGCCCCTGATCGAGGGCTTTGCATGAAGATATATTACATATTGTTTATAATTAATCTGTAATATTTTTGTGTAAACACTTTTACATTATATGGAGTGTATATACGTATATGTCATGTTTTATATACAAACTAAACGGCTGGTGGCGTGTCTACAACCCAGGTCCGTCAGGGACGGCATGGCCAAGTTCAAGGAGTTCCCGGCCGAGTTCGGGGGTTCCGGCGCTGTTCTGGGAGAGGACAGGTCTTCGAGTTTAGTTTCGGGTTTGGGTTTTGTTTAGGGTTTAGGAGGGTTTGTAGGATTTAGGGCCTTGTTGATTTAGGGTTTAGGGCTTTTAGTTTAGGGCCTTTTTCATTTAGGGTTTAGGGTTTTTTAGGGTTTGGAGTTTGGGGCCTTTTGGGGGTTGAGGGTTTCGGGTTTCCGAAGAGGTGCGCAGCTTCTGCTAAAACTGCAAGCATGCGCAAGGAATTTCAGAAGAACCTTCCCAGTCTTTGGCACGGTGCAGCCGTAGGTTAGTTCGCAGTATATTCTGCAAAAAAGTTGCGAGTTTATATGTATATATATATATATTTTTTTTACTTATACATACACATTATGTACTGCAATGTAGAACAACACAATGGAATCTAGTGCAACATGGCAGAAGGTTAACTTAATAGATTGTCCAGAGGGTCCATATACACTACTGTTCTGGAATTAGGTTCCGAAAGACCATCCTCATTATGGTTTTGGGGACCTGATGCCACAATGGTAGTATGTATGGACCCTCTGGGCCCTAAGCCCTCTAAATCCTAAGCCCTAAACCCTCGAACCCTCAAACCCTTAACCCTTAAACCCTAAACCCTGAACTCTCAAACCCTAAACCCTAAACCCCTAAACCCGAAATCCCTAAACCCTAAACTCTCAAACCCCAAACCCTAAACCCCTAAACCCCCAACCCCTAAACTCTAAACCCAAAATCC